GGGTATATGAGGATGTTATAGAGAGTGGAAATTATGAATTGATCACTTTTTCAAAGGCAGAAAAATCTCCTGTGTGACTGTCAGGATGCATTGTTTGCTTGCTTTTCCTTGAAGTGTCACCATTTTTAACTGTTTTAGAAAATGTCAGCAGCCTTTGTTTTTGTTCCTGACATCTTTTATCTTTAGTATTATGGATGAACTGAAGCGCAGTACACTGTTGTTTCACTTCATTTATTTTTACAGATCTTTCATGGAAGCTTTATGGTTATTATATTTAAGCCTTACTGTAATATGTTTCACTTGTAGATGCGACAACACAGTATTTTAGCCATCCATTACAATATTTCAGTGTCTGTTCTTAAATTCAAGTGACCTGCAGTACTGGTGCAAATACAATACTTCTTACGCCCCTCTCCAGAGACTGTGTTTGGTTTTTCCCTTCTGGGCNNAACATGGCGGTTCAACATGACAGCCTCCATGGAAAGTGACCAATAGTGTCTGTAAATAAAAACAGCTCATTCTAAGGTCACAAAAACATAATGATTCCCTTTTACGGGTGATTATACACTAATAAAACATAAAATAAAAAAATTAAAAGTAGTTATGAATATTATATCCATATTTATATATATTATATGCCTCCTAAATCTCCTACTACTATCAAACCCCACATCTTCAGATTGTAACGCAGACTTTCTTTTAGAAATATTTGGGCAAAGCTTTCCAATTTAGATCTGTTATCAAAGGAATATATAAACAAGACAACCAAGCATTCTATACTACAGACATATTTTGTTTAAAACCTTAAAGTTATCGAGGCGTAATAGTCAGCCTTAATGCTGGTTGATGGATTCCATCCGTCCGTACATGCGCTGTGGATGGATATTTATTGAAGCATGTCAGCTGTGATCAATAGCCATCTGTGTTATTCTGTAGTTGTCAGTCAGGTGTCGAATACATCAAGAGAAATGGTTTCTATTATCTCCTTTAGTAGCAGACATTTTTCATCTGTGTGTTCACTCAAGAGTTTTAAAGGCAAATACAAGTTCAATCAGTTTGTCTTGCCCTCAAACTTAGTGACCCAGGTAAAAACCTTCAAATATGGTTGCTCTTTATTTTGATTATTTTTCTTGATTTTGCTGAAAGATTCAATATAAATAACTGACTTTGAACCAGTTTCTTCTTTATTTCTATTGACAAGGGATTATCCAAACAAAATAGAACAGGAAGCAAGAAAAGTTAGACTGTGAGCAGACACTTCTTTTTATGCTGACTTCACTTAAAGTTCACATGACATGGGCTATGCAGCTTTATTAGCGTATATTGCTTTGCAATCTGGCCCATTTTTAGTTTGAACAGAATGTTAAAATGATAAGCAGCATACACGGGCTGTCGATAGAGGACTGAATAGATTAGAGCATAGCAAACAGGGCTGTGAAGTTCAGTTTATAATTCTATGTAAAGTTGACGTGGCAAATAGTGTTGAGTTGTCACAAAATATGGATTCTTTGAAATAATTACATTCCAGGCAGCCACAGGGACTTGACATGGATTTAATGGGAATAAAGGAGGGGTTTGGGGTTGAATACCTAAAAAGCTCTTTATTAAGGTTTATACAATATGATGTCACTGAATTTGCCTCTAGTGTCCCCATTAGGTTGCCATTTTTGGTTTTCAGTGAAATTTCTCAACAACTGTTGAATGGATTGCCATGAAATGTGGTAAAGACCTCCATGTCCAGATGTCCAGTGTGCAATATTAGTGATCCCATAAGTTTTTATGTAACACCACCATCAAGGCAAAAAAAAAGTGTTACAGACTGTAGCGCAGTCACGTTTTCATCTTCCTCCTCACCTCACCAGGCCCCACTGTGGCCTGTCTGTCCTCCGCCTCACCTGCCCTGCTCACAGCTCAACACGCCACACAGAGCTGATCACTCAGCAGAGACTCCCCCGTCTCATTGTGACAGTCAGACTGTGACATCATGTCAGTCTGGTTGGCAGTGTGGTGGAGCTGCAGCTGAGACTGTGACAGAGGTCTCCCTCTGTTGTTTTGCTGGGTTCTGAACGTGCAGCATATCTCTGATAATGACTGTGCTTCAGATAGTGCTGTCAGGGAGAGGGCTGATCCTCACTTTTGCATGACGTGACCCTACTCATACTCCTACACACGATACAGTTGCGTAGCGTGTTCTGAACTTTATGACAGGTTGTCTAATTATTAATCATTTTATGGCTGCCATGTCAACAGCACAAACCTGCTCTCTGGCCCTAATGCAAATTTGAAACAGCTTACGTATATCTATCTCAGGGTCACCTTCACCCTTCATAGCCTACTGAAGGAATGTGTGGTGTATTGAAATGGAGCCTCTTTTATTATCTGGACCACTGGACCAAACTCTTGAAACCTTCTCTCATTCCACCTTCTACTTCTTTTCTCCTCCGGTCTTCCCCCACTCCGTTTCAGAAACTAACTAATTCCACTAAGTCTAAATAAGTAAATAAGCTTTTCCATCATCCGTTTACAGAGTGGATAAATCTGAAAACTGCAGCTTTTTTTTTTATAAAACTCAACTTTTTGAGCCTAGAGGCTGTGTGGCAGTAAAGTTAAGATGACAACTTTCTGTCACCTCTAACCCTCCAGGATCACTCATTTTAAATGTCAGTATAGCTGATTGCACACATCTCATTGCAGCAGCTTAAGAGTAGCATTATGACTCGCAATAAAATC